GCTTGTCGCAGCTAGGTGACATTCCAATGGATGGGTATCTCCAGTACTGTCCATCAAGTATGGCCTTTGACAGATTATTCAGCCTCATCTATGAAGAGCTCTCGCAGCCCTTCAACCAGTCAGCCTGTCTAGACCTGTTGGACAAACTCAGGTATACCATATTAGAGCATACTTGCAATCCCCTTATATATTTCTTGCTTGAAATGAATATCAAACTGTTAAAAATTATTTATCGTACTAATATTTTTAAGATATCTTGTACTGAATGCATTTTAACTAATTGTTTAACCAACGCCTTGTATACGGGATTTGTTATTCTCAGACAGCCCCCTTACTTAATGGTTCCAGTACATTTGTCATCTTCTTGGTATGATGAATATGATTTGCAAACATTATATGAGGTTAATGCTTTATTAGCCAGACAGAAATGGTTTTTAGCCACCTTAATTTTAGGAATTACAGCTTTGATAGCTATTGCTACTTCAGTAACAGCTTCACTATGCAGGTACTCTTGTTGATGAGCTGTGTTCCCCCTTGCAGGCAGTTCTCCACTACTGCCAACCCTTTTCTTTTTTTGTGAAGTTGTGGGGTACAGTTAAGGGTTAGGTATACAATTGCGTTTCATTCAGGCACCCTGTTGATATGGGGTGTTTCCCTGTTCCCAGACAGATATTTGATGCTGTTAATCCCATCTCCCTCCCCCCACCATAGTTTCCCAGTACGGTCAGTCATTTTCGTATAGTATTGCATTGGATGTTTAAGGTCCATTATATGAGTGAGAACATGTGATACTCAGATCTTTGTTTCTGTGAGAGGTCACTCAGTATTATAGACTCTAGTTCCATCCAGGTTGCTGCGAAATTCATGATTTTGTTCTTTTTTATGGCTGTGTAGTATTCCATCGTGTATATGTACCACATTTTTTTAATCCAGTCCTCTTTTGACGGGCAGCATGGCTGTTTCCAGGTTCTTGCTATTGTGAACAATGCTGCAATAAACATGCGTGTGCAGGTATCTTTTTTATAGAGTGATTTGTGTTCTTCAGGATATATTCCCAGTAGGGGGATTGCGGGGTCATATGGGAGGTTGGTATTAAGAGCTTTTAGGAATCGCCACACTGCTTTCCACAGAGGCTGCACTAGTTTACATTTCCACCAACAGTATAGAAGTGTTCCCTTTTCACCACACCCTCTCCAGCAGCTGTTATTTTTTGACTTGTTGATAATTGCCATTCTGACTGGGGTTAGGTGGTATCTCAGTGTGGTTTTGATTTGCATCTCCCTGATGAGGTTGAGCATTTCTTCATGTGTTTGTTGGCTGCTCGGATGTCTTCCTTTGTGAAGTGTCTGTTCATATCTTTTGCCCATTTTATAATGTGGTTGTTTGTTTTTTTTCTTTTAAGCACATTTGAGTTCCTTGTAGATCCAAGATGTTAAGCCTTTGTCAGAACTGGTGTTGGCAAATATTTTTTCCCAGTCTGTAGGCTGTCTCCTTGCTCTCTTGATGGTTTCTTTGGCTTTGCAGAAGCTTGTCAGTTTAATAAGGTCCCACTTGTCTATCTTCTCTCTTATGAGCTATGGGTTTTGGGTTTTGTTCAGGAATTGGATGCCAGTTCCGATTTCCATGAGGGTATTTCCTTCATTTTCTAAGGTTCTTATGGTTTGAGGTTTTACATTTAGGTCTCTGATCCATTTGGAGTTAACCTTTGTGCATGGGGATAGATAGGGGTCCTGTTTCAATCTTCTGCATGTGGTCAGCCAGTTTTCCCAGCACCATTTACTGAATAGGTTCTCCTCTCCCCAGTGGGAGGTGGTGGAGGCTTTGTCGAAGATGAGTTGGCTGAGAAATTGAGGTTTTGCTTCTGGAATCTCAATTCTATTCCATTGATCTATATGCTTGTTCCTATTCCAATACCAAGCTGTTTTGATGATTGTAGCTTTATAGTATAGTTTGAAGTCTGGTAATGTGATACCACCTGGTTTGTTTTTTTTTGCTGAGGATTGTTCTGGCTATTCTTGGACGTTTGTGTTTCCATATGAATTCCTGTGTTGTTTTTTCTAGGTCTGAGAAGAATGTTGCTGGTAA